ATTTAGATCGAATCGTGTCAATGTCAGTCGAGTTTAAGATTGAAATAAAGGACGGGTTGTGTGATTTGTCAAGTGCTCAGCTCCATGAATTCTACCTTGACGTTATAATAATCCTTTAATGGCTGCACCTGATGAAACAGGATATGGAAAATAAGGAATGATGCTGCATGCCTCAGTGAGGATTAATGCCCATTTTCTGATACGGTCAAGGTTTGCCTTAATACCTTTGAGGATTCTTGTTCAAATCCATTATTCATTAGATGTGCACATGCACTGGCATATGCAAACATTATGGGTAAACAGTTGCTTGCATGTTTATTTACACATAGTCATGAGAGTCTCCAAGGAAGCGTAGACTGAAGATCTCATGAATAGTGCAGATAAGAGTGGATGAAGACCTTTGAGAGAAGCTCAATCTTTTATTTGTCATGAATGCAGAAGTATTGTGCTGCCTGAGATGATCTCTTGTGATCTACCAACCTGATCTTTCACAGGGGATTTCTCAGATGCTTGGGGTCTGCTGGACCCAGTGGTCTGATATAAAGATTAAAAAAACAAAACAGGGGCACAAGGATAATGCTGGGCTGGACTGGGTATGTCCACTGGGTATGAGTGGAAGGAAGGGACAAAGGCAACAATCCACAAACCCCAGTTTGGAAAGAAAGATTGATACAAATATCAGTGTTAGAGACACGTCACTAATACCCATCACAGCAGCTTTGTAACACACACACATCAGTCATAGACACCTTGACACCAGTACATGTAAAACGCATTCAGCTGTGACATAAATGTCACTGAATAAATATCATTCAGTGTAGTGTGACGTATAGGTCACAGCCACAATGGTAATTAGAAAAAAATGTTCCTGTATTAGATCCTAGTTTGCTGAGAATATCTGACACTCATGAAAACCACTTGGTGTATGTATTGTTAGTAATTTCATGTGATTTGAAAATGCGATATATTTGTTATTGATAAAACGTGACCAGTGCTGCTGGGACACATCAATAGTATAGTGATGAAAAACAATGTGTTCACAAAAACGTGTTCATTTACAGCAAAGGCAACTACAACTGATTTCCCAGTTCAGGGTTTTGCGTAGTAAGTCGACTTTCAGTGAACTTTGAGTAAATGGGTGAACAGTTCTTTTACAGTTTTAGAAAGAGAGCTGCATCAAGCATTACCACAGGCCAAGCTAACAGCTCATTCCAAACAGGTATGTTTACAATGGCCACTACTCTAGTCCTTCAAAAAATGTTTATTTTGTTGGTTGACAAGAAAAGAAACTTGGTTACATCTTGCTTTTAACAGATTTACTCTTATCGTCTCATTGTCACATCTGTGGACAATCTGCACACACCAGAACGTTGTGGATTTTCATTGATTCCAATAGAAAAGTGCTGATTCTTTGTCCAAAATACACTTTTCTACACCATTGAAGTTTGCAATCTTCTGTAAAAGGGCAACAGCAAGATCATTTCTATATAACTTAAATGTTTCAGCAGCATCTGTTTGCAGCCCACAAGGCCACCTCAAGCCACACCTGCATGCAAGACATGCCCAAATGATGGATACCATCAAAAAAGCAAATGGAGGAGCTGCTATTTTTCTATATAAACTGATT